CACAGGCGGCCCAAGCTCATTACATGAACGCGGACGTGACTCTTGCTTGCGAGTGGTGTTGTGTTACAAACGGTTATTTACAAAGGTTTGTATGGGATGTTTTCGGTTTATCTTAAAAGAGAGAAAAAATGTTATGTTTGTCAATAAAATCGACTTACCTTATTGCCTTGTTGTATTCTTTGTTGGTTGCCCGCGTCTCAGGCCGTTTTGAAGCGTTTTCGGCGAGTTAGCGCTATTTTGGTGTTCCACTGCTAAAAGAAAGACTTTCTTTTAGCAGTGGAACACCAAAATAGCGCTAACTCGCCGAAAACGCTTCAAAACGGCCTGAGACGCGGGCAACCAACAAAGAATACAACAAGGCAATAAGATAAGTCGATTTTATTGACAAACATAACATTTTTTCTCTCTTTTAAGATAAACCGAAAACATCCCATACAAACCTTTGTAAATAACCGTTTGTAACACAACACCACTCGCAAGCAAGAGTCACGTCCGCGTTCATGTAATGAGCTTGGGCCGCCTGTGCAAAAACCGTGGACGAAGATCCTGCTAGTTGTAAACGTTGGATCTCTAGAAAAGAGATCAAATCAGCCAAAATATAAAGAAACAAGAACGAGAAGTCCGAAGACTACAGCAAAGCTGATTTAAAACAACGTGTATTGTGTTTTATAACAATATTTCGGCTGGCCATACCAGCCTTCTTCAGGTTTACAGATGTTACTGAACTTATGTAGCAATCACAATATTACATAGATGGAGAATGTCGCAATAAACGGGAGAGGCGGAAATGACGTACAACATAAAAACTGGAAAGGAAAAATACTAAGGATATGGATTACAATAATTCGTCACGGCTGTTCAGGCCATGAGGTTCAAGAGTCCATCTATATAATATTGTGATTGCTACATAAGTTCAGTAACATCTGTAAACCTGAAGAAGGCTGGTATGGCCAGCCGAAATATTGTTACAAAAAGGTTCATATTATCGCAACATAATGCGATAAATTCTTTTAATTAGTATCAAAATAGAAAAAAATGCGTTTCAATTCTGGTTTAACCTGAGATCAGGCTCAATTTTTGTTTCGCTTTGTAAATAACATTCCGGCGGCATGAGAACCGCTAAAATTGGGCCTGATCTCAGGTTAATTCTGGTTACACTATTTGTGTGGGTGCCCTGTGGGAGCGACACTGGGTTCTACCTTTAAATCCCATGAGTCATTGCGGGAGTGGAAAGTGTCTTTAAACAGAAACCATAGCAACGCACGTTGCTAAATAGCAACGACAGCGGCCATGTTTGTTAGTCGGAAATTTTGAACGACAGTGAAAAGGTCTTTACGAATTGATCGGTAGAAACTACACTAACATTTTAACTTGAAAAGATGACCTCTCTTCCATTTCTCCCAGGAAATTCGTTTACAGATCCTACGGTATGTATATTTTCTGAAATGTTTGGTTGTTATGAGTGTTGAAGATCTTATGGAAAAATCACTGTAAATCGACATATATGCATAGCCTGGGAATATTACCTTCTTATTTCTTTTGCGTTATATTTATTAATATTTCTAAATTGTTGGGATTTATGAGGACCTCTTTCTTTAAAAGCGGCTTCGACTAATTCTGTTAGCTCTCAGTGTCTTTTATCACAATGTTTTCATACTTTTAGATCCTCTCTAATTTCTTTCAGAAAACCAAATTTCATCGACCTCAAACACTTGGATGGAAGAACGGATATTCCTTGCCAACAGCCCCTGTTATAGGGATCGGCGGAGATCCAATACCTGTGAACAAATTGACACAGGAAGAGCTCGACGAACTTGCAAATTTAAAGCCTTCACTGACTTATGGACAAAAAGTTCAAGCACCTCCAGAGGATTTTGTCCCTGCCCATGTAGGATTTGATAAGAAAGTTTTGCTTTTCTTTGGATATTTCAAGCAAACTGTGCACGAGTCTGCCAATGAATATTACAGAGTTCGTCCAGTTAAAGTGTATTATTACCTGGAGGACGATTCTATTGCAGTTGTGGAACCTGTAGTTAATAACAGGTAATGAAAATTTCCCTTTCTCAAAGTTAGCATTTTAGGGAAAATTTCACATTTCATTTGAAAATACACTGAAAAACAAGTAATGCCTCTGCAGACCCAAAAGGTACAGCTACCCCATGCCAATCTAAGACAGAAAGAACACATTAAACTAGACTGTTACATGTAGTTCCGTACGAATGCTGACCCTTTGAGAGCAATATCTAACTATGCCTGACCAACAATTTTATAGCCTGCATCGCAGATGAATTTAACCCCGAATAGTAATTTCTGCAAGGAAGGAACCCAAAATTCATGTTCAGGGCTCGGTTGCATAAAACCCTCTTAAGATAAGTCGAGGGCTCTTAACTTTTGTTCTGGAACAACTTATTGTTTTGAAGTATAGTTACAAATTCCCTAAATCTTAAGATGTTTTTTGCAACCCAGCCCTGGGCCTCTACAGACTTAAAGAATTACTGGAACTTCAACCTCAAAAAAAACTTGAATGGCAGCTGACAATGACTTTTTTAGCAGACTAGTCACGGTTTATGCTCAAATTCTGGTATACAGGTTGCGGCCCAGAACAAGGATTTGGGCACTATTTTGCAGACAGACTGTCTGTTGCACAGGCAACAATTTTACAGTTTAATTACATGCGGCTCATTGCCCCTGATGAAACACTTCTGAGCCAGTTACAAAAGCCTTATTATTTCCATGTCTAGCCTGGGGAAAACAATAATATTATTGCTATTGCCCACAAGAGAATTGTATGCTCAGTCTAGCATGGTGACTTGTAATGTATAGTAAACAAATGCTTTTTTCTCTCTATGTTTTAGTGGAATTCCTCAAGGAAAACTTATTAAGCGTCAGCGTTTACCAAAGAATGACCTTGGTGAATATTGGCACTGGAAAGACTTAAACCTTGGGATCAATGTGACTTTTTATGGGAAAGTGTTTCATCTTTATGACTGTGATGCTTGGACAAAGGTAACATGATCTATTTAGTTGTTTGGACTCTGATATATCAACCATGTACTATAGGGGGTTTTCCATGAATTACCGGGTGATAACTTGCTGCTTGAACTTCAAATCTCTTTCTTATACCAGACCTTGATGACTATTTTATATTTTTACAACCCTGTTCGAGCCAAGAAGTAACCAATGATTTATGAAGGGTCTTCAACTTTACCAGTGTAAATTCGTAGCAGCAACAAAGAAGACCCCTCTTTTTGATACCTGTATACTTTCCACAAGCCATTAAGTTTAATTTCTGAGGTACCATTCGCCAACAATCTAATAACTTTGAAGGAAGGAAAAGTTTGGGCTTGAAGCAGCTTAGCCTGACATTTGTCCTAAATTTAAAATGTACGGTTGAACCTCCACTAATGGCCACCTCTTTACAATGGCTACTTTTTTTGTCCTGGCGGACAGTGACCACACAATGGTCACTCTTGTTTAAACCTCTCTACAACGGCCACTAACTCATGTCTCCAGCTGCCAAAATAACCTCGACAACAACCAGTTTTTTCAGCTGACTGTTGAAAGTTAGTCAAGAATTGTCACCAAATTTGATCAGTATGGCTTATTGATGATTAATTCAGGCAATCGTATTTTGATTGTTCCATTTGTAATCTTATGCTACTGCGGTAAGCATAAATTGTCTACGATACTTATGAACCTTGCTCATTTTGTCATGTTCTCTATACATTAAAATAATGATTGATTACTATTATGGTATATACATTGTAGTAAGCATGAACTGCATGAGAACAATAAACATGTTGCCCTGCGGCCACTTTCTTCTGTCCCCAAGGTATCCGTTGTGGAGAGGTTCGTTTGTGTATGTACACTGTAAGCTTTTAGTATTGGTACTCAGGAGATCAGATCTTGATGCCTTGCCTGACCTTTTTCTTTAGGAATATTTGGCCAGTGAGGGGATAGAGCTTAATCAGCCGCAGATGCCCGAGAAAGACCCTTACACTGAATCCCGTAAACAGCCTCTCCGCACCTACAAAACACCTTCATCCTTTGACAAACTGAAACAGTTTCTGGAGTTGGACAGGAAGGTTTTAAGATTTTACTGTGTGTGGGATGACAGGGACAGCATGTTTGGAGAAATGCGACCTTGTGTGAGTACAAGCAATTCTTAAGCCTGGTTCTCATTTCTGACTTAACACTACATGCATGCAACTGTGGTTCAGCTGCTGGTTCTGCCTGGATAAAATTTCAGTAGTGATGTAAAAACAGTTTAGGCCCAGTTCAAATGTCAATCTTTTCATGTACTGAACTTAATACCTATTTAGGTTGACCCAAATGATACAAGTTTGATGTTGATTCAGACATTGAACTTATTAATAATTAGTCAGACTCAATTCATTTTCACATTGTTCAATGGTCTTCTGAATGCTTACAAGTGAAAATAAATTTTAGTAATTTATGCGATAGGTTTCGCACGAGAAATTCCACATTTGAAATGAACTCACTCCACAGTCAAAATTCCCATGTGGGCCACTCGATCTTAATTCATGGGTTAACCCAGTTAAACATGTTGGACTTAATATTGGTTCAAACACCAAAGGATATTTTCATGTACTTAATTGAAGGGATTTGGTTCAGTACATGAAAAGTTCAACGTTTGAACTGGGCATTAAGTGAAAACATTGATACATCCTTTGAAAGAAAGAAAAATAATTTTCGGTATTGATAGTGCATGTTTCTTCTGTATTCACCACATTTACTTATTTTGTTCCAGATTATCCATTATTATCTGGTGAACGATACTGTGGAAATTAGAGAAGTGCACACAGCTAATGACGGAAGAGATCCCTTTCCTGTTCTGGTGTGCCGACAGAGACTCCCTAAAGACAGAACTAATGTAGAATGTAAGTACATAGTCCGTAACCATAGCTCAGAGAGGTACATACACCTGTTTGCCTGAGTTTGAATCCAAGCCAGACAGACACTTAGTCTTGGAATTGGGGTCGGTTATTAAAACAAAGACTAACGTAGACCGCGGTTTATAGCAGATCTTTGGACCTTCAGTGCTAGTCTACGCTATGCTTTCACGAAGCTCTTCATGATGGTGTTTACAAAAAAGCGTTTGGCAAACTGAAAATGGCTTAGAACACTGGCTAAGCTCTGTTTAAGTAACTGGCCCTTAGAGTTTTAATTAAAAATAACTGAGGAGAAAGTGCTGCTGACATTTCACATCTGCACATGCCATCAGACCCTTTGGTCTTCTTTAATACATCTAGAGAAGAATGAAAAGTAAAACATAGGCCCCATCTCACAACACTTCAACAGTCAACATCTTTGACTCTTATGGGATGTCTTGAATACCATGTCAGTGTAGTTTACACAACAAATGCAGGTGTCCTAAATCTAAACCAGGTATTTCTTTTGTACCAAAAATAAAGAGAAGTTTGCTGTAAATAACCCATTTTTCTGCTTATATTTCTGACAGCATCTTTTCCATCCTGTGTTCTGGAATTATCTGATCATGAAATCAAAGACTGGTTCACTCCTCGAGACTTCATGGTTGGAAAGACTCTCTTTATTCTGGGAAGAAGATTCCTTCTTCATGACTGTGATGAATTCACAAAGAACTATTATAGGGTCAACTTTGGAATAACCGACACTAATCCTGTTGATGTGAAAGGAGAACCAAGAGAACCCTTGAATAAGGTATTTTAAATATCTTTTTTGATACGTCAAAAACCTGTCAGTAATTATATTTATTATTAAACTGCTCACTGGCAGTAGAAAAGTGTATTAACAGTTTTAATTCCTTTGATTTTTAAGTTAAAAGCAGAGGTTTAGTAATATTAAGCAAGGAAAAATTAACCCTAAAAAAATTTTTGCCAAAGATTTACATGATAAATCTGGAATGTTACACATGCCAATTAGTTTGGCTCAAATTGAGTCTGATTGGACTTTAAGAGATGATGCTAGTTATCTAATTGGTAACATTTCATGAAAAAAACAATCAAACTTATTATTTTTGCATTTCTTAAGGACCAAAAACTGTTTGTCACGTTCTTTCACAACAATAGTATCACAGTATTTGACAATTACTGATGGTATATTTTGTTAGGATGTTCCACCATACAATGGCTTTGGCTCTCTTGAGGACAGCCTTCAATCCTGCCTGTCTCTTGTGCCTCAGCCTCCAAAGAAAGACTTCATCAAAATGCTGGAAAATGATCACAAAGTACTACGATATGCTGCGACCATGGTAAGTTACAATCATCCAAATCGTTTGTGGATATCTTACTGTGTCACAGTTTGTAAGTTACAGTGAAATACAAAATACCAGTACTTGTATTGGGAAAAACTTGCCTTTAATGACTACCAATAAAAATCATTTGTTTAAATTTTTAAATTGTAATATTCTTTATACTTGAGGTTTTTTAATATCCCGGTCTTAGATGATTCTGTGGTTTGAATATACATTATCCATCCCTCTACAAGTTCCAGTATGTTCTTGAAAACTTAAGAGTCTCATGGCAAGTTACCTGCTGTCAAAAATTATTCGAACTAGTTTAGTATTAATAATATTGTTACTTTTAAAGGAGCTTATGTGAGTTGCTTCTTTTCTTTGTTCAGGAAAGTTTCAGACCAGAAGACAAAAATAGACGCTTCATCATCTATTACCGCCTGGCAGATGACATGCTTACAATCTATGAGCCTCCGGTGAGAAATGCCGGAATCATTGGTGGGAAATTCCTTGAGCGCACACGCGCCACTAAACCAGGATCATCTGTTGATAATCCTGAATTCTACACCCCGGCAGACTTCCAAATTGGTGCCCTCATACAGATCTTCAAACATCGCTTTAGAATAACAGATGCCGATGAGTATGTGTTAAAATATTTGGAATCACATGCTCAGATATATCCAATCACCAC